ATGGTGGATGCAGTACGTTCTAATTTCATGCATACTACTCGCATTCATACTACATAGAACACACTTTTCTAAAGGTCGTGTAGTAAACTCAAATTCAAATGTAGTGCACACTGAGTAGTGGCCGATTTCAGGAGCGTCAGCAACTTCTGGTTCATGCGGACTCTAACTTGTGTCTAAACCAGGGATGTCTAAACTCAGTCCTGGAGGGCAGTATGCTGGAGAGATTAGCTCCAGCCCTAATCAAACACACCTGAGGCAGCTGATCAAGCTCTTACTGGATGTACTAGAAACTTCCAAGCCGGTGTGTTAAAGCAGATTGGAGCTCAACTCAGCAGGATACTGCCCTCCAGGACTGAGTTTGGACACCCCTGGTGTAAACCATGACCCCTTATCTGCCTGATCACTATATTTAAGGTGTATTGGAGTGTATGTAGGGTGTGCGGGACATCATCACTCGTTCAGGGGTGTGTTTCTGAAAATCATGGCTTGCCAACTAATGTCACAAGTTCTGTTGTTTCAAGCATAGTTTGTTGATTTGCCGTTTCCCAAATCCACCATTTAGATAAGCTTTCGCAAACTGCGTCGTGGGTAATGCAGTGGCGCAGGGCTGTCGCCTCACAGCAAGAAGGTCTCTGGTTTGAGTCTCAGCTGGGTCAGTTGGTGTTTCTGTGTGGAGTTTGCATGTTCTCCCAGTGTTGGCGTGGGTTTCCTCCGGGTGCTCCGGTTTCCCCCACAGTCCAAACACATGTGGTCCAGGTGAATTGGGCATGGAAAGGGCATCCGCTGCGTAAATATGTACTGGATAAGTTGGCGGTTCATTCCACTGTGGCGACCCCGGATTAATTAAGGGACTAAGCCAAAAAGAAAAAGCATAAATGAATGAAACTGTGTTGCAAACATGTGCACCTGCAACTTCTCCTCTGGAGCTGTAGTTAGAAGCAGAGTTCCAGGCTGTGTTCTATTTCCAGTTATCCCCCCTATGCCCTATTCGTTAGGAACATTTAACATTTATTTGAGAAGTTATTTACCATAAAGCATTAAAGTAATTTGTTTTCAAAGTATTTTACAGTTCAGTTTTGGCGATCTTCATGTTTACAGTTGTGTTCCCTTCGCAGTGCACATGGAAAACATTGATGTTATTTGGAACACTGCCGTGGCTCATGGCGAAAGCTATAGGTGACCTATTATTTACAAGGGTACGCTATTACGCTAATGCTGTTAATGTATAGTAGCTTATTCAATAAATATCTGTACTGTATATGACATGCGCCTGAGGGGGAGAACAGTTCAACAATGTCATTAGCACAGACGTTATGTTTATTTTTCTGCACAGGAGTTGTTCCTCCAGCCCGTTTACAGCATCATTATTGGCCTTTTACATTATAAATAACATTTGACAGAGAAACGACAGTTTTGGGAACACTCGTCACTACATCGCTCTTTCCCCAATCGATGCATCGTACTATGATAGTTCAGCCGTGAGTTACGCCGGTGTTTGGGAAACTCAGCCCTGAACTGAACTGCAGAGCTCTGGTGTAAACCCGGCAGATACAGCGCTGAAGAACTCACAGCCGCTCACATGTGCAGAGACAGAACACATGTCAGAGTAACAGACGGATCTACACGCAGAGACGAGGCGGGAGCAGAGGTGTGTGTGTGTGTGTGTGTGTGTGTGTGTGTGTGTGTGTGTGTGTGTGTGTGTGTGTGTGTGTGCGCAGACCGCCGCCTCTCATTCCGCATCTTCATCTGGACCGCAGATGCTGGGAGAACACAAGGGCTGATGGGTAGTCTGTGATGTCATGGTTGTTGGTAGCATTAGTGTGGTTTGAGGCTCTGCATCGCTTCATGATGACTGTCTGACACATGAAACACTTCTCAGACTTAAAGGAAGAGCTGAGGCGCTGCAGAGTTCGTTATTACCCCTCGTCAAACACGCCTGAGCAAGCTAATCATCCCGCACACACTATACCCTCATTCCCTGTTCACTACGGCAGTCCACTTGGAGGAGAGACTGAAGGCGAGTGAGGGAACTGGAGATCTGGAGGGGGGGGGGTAGTTGATAAATCTCTCGTTTGATTTTCAGATTAGTCTCTATAATCCTCAAATAATCCTTGTGTTTTGGGGAATATGCTTATTTTACAGCTCCCTCTACAGTTAAACAGTTAAGTTTGATCATTTTACTTCACTCAGCCCATCTCATCATCATCAGGAGCATTTTAGCTTAGCTTAGCATAAATCATTGATTCGGATTAGACCATTAGCATCTCGCTCAAAAATGAACAGTTTTGATAACAGTTTCCTATTTAAAGCTCGACTCCTCTGTATTTACATTATTTACTAAGACATGAAGGTCACTGGTTTGAGTCTCGGCTGGGTCAGTTGGTGTTTCTGTGTGGAGTTTGCATGTTCTCCCCGTGTTGGCGTGGGTTTCTTCCGGGTGCTCCGGTTTCCCCCACAGTCCAAACACATGCGCTATAGGGAAACTGATCAACTACACTGGCCGTAGTGTATGAGTGTGTGTGTGTGGGTGTTTCCCAGTACTGTTGTAACCCCTCTGGTCCTACTGCACCCAACCTGCTCCAAGCTGGAATCAAAGCAGCGACCTTCCGCATGGGAGTCTGCCAAGGAGGCTCTGGCCTCTGCTACACTGGGTTGGGAGGGCATCCACAGTGTAAACCATATGCTGGAATAGTTAGCGGTTCATTCCATTGTGGTGACCGCTAGTGAACAAAGGGACTAAGGGCGTACTCACACTATGCTCAGTGCCCAGGCCCGTTTCCCAGGTCGTTTGAGAAGTGTGAGTGCTCTGAATCGGGCTCAGGTGTGGTTCAGTTGGCCGGCCCTGACACGGTTGGTGGAGGCGGGCCAGGGCGCGGTTTACTTGGGCTCAGGCACAGTGCATCATCGATGATGTAAGCGTACTCGGGTCCGGCTGGTAATAATGCAGTGTGAGTGCAGGCCGAGGGGGAGAGAGGATGGGGGACAATTGCACTTTGGCACGATTCAAAGCAACTGTGCCTAATGTGAGCGCGCCCTAAGCCAGAGGAGAATGACTGAATGTACTAAGGTTGACAGTTGCTATTTTCTAGCCTAATCTGTCTAGAAGACTCTCTCATTCTGGCGTAATAATAATGGAATTTTTGGAGCCGCAGCGCAATATTATGCAGCACCTGAAAGTAGTCCCCAGCAAGGTGCTGCCTAATATCATTACGCCTGCAGCATTCGAACATGCTAAATCCTCCATTTGTCATGATCACGTGACCTACCCACCTACCCACATCAGTTGTGTTTGCTTCACTCCCGTTCATGAATTCTTTAGCTGGTCATTAGAGGATAGTGTGTCATTCATTAGATGTGCACTACTGAATCTCACTAGCAGGTCATCCAGGTTCGTCTTACATACTATTCATACTACATATGCAATTAAGTGTCTTGGTGTTGTATTGGATTATAAAAGTAGTTGGAAACCGCAACTTAATAATGTGATATCAAAATTAGTCCAAACTGCAGCAGTAGTGTATAAAGCCAGATTTACCCTGCACAGTACATCAATGTATGTATTATATAACACACTTATGTTGCCATATACGAGTTATTGTGTTGAAATTTGGGGGAATACATATAAATCTGACTTGCCATCTGTATGCACAATGCAGAAAAAAGTCATTAGACTGATAGAGCACCCGGAGGAAACCCACGCCAACACGGGGAGAACATGCAAACTCCACACAGAAACACCAACTGACCCAGCCGAGACTCAAACCAGAGACCTTCTTGCTGTGAGGCCACAGTGAGACGCCATATTGTGCCGTCAACCATATAATAATAATCCAACAATAGGATAAGTAAAGCAATATTGTTTTTGTTTGAAATAAGATTATTCTGCTTGTTTAAGGACATAGATATATACACTAGATGTCGCCTGGCCTATTGTTGTCTATTGGATGGAATGCGTCAATAGCGCCGCCATCTTGCTACAGGGTAGCGCTCCTTTGAAATGAATGCAGGACCAATGTACAGTGGAGGCCTGTGGCCATGCAAAGCCAGAGATATACACATATACACATATATCTGTGATCGGGAGTTTTCCTGGATGTTAGTACAAATTTTGTTTGTAATTATGAAAATTATAATTTGACATCACTTTTCTACATTGATGGATCAGTGACCGCACGGACATTCCTGACAAAAAGCTTGTGTTTGTGTGTACAGAAATGCACTATTCACCCTCCCTGTTAAATTTGATCTAATCATGTCCTGAAACACAGCTCCTCTCCTGCTTTCACTGCTCATACTGACGGAGGGAGCGATTCGTTTGTGAATGAATCCCCCGAACGACTCTTTCACTAACGTTAGCCGACAATAACACAAGTTTCTGGCAGCGCAGCGTCTCGTTGTCATATTTCTTTTGCTTTGTTTGCTGATTTTATTCAACAAAACTAGCATAAGCCGAGTGTTTAGTGTGAGTTGGAGCTGCTTTGCCGTATGGTGAATGCAGTAAGTGACTGTTATCATCAATAACGTTACCTGATTAGCACAAAAGTTCAGAACATACAAAAACAGAAAAAACTTAATATTACCAAATAATGTTCTGCCTTTGTGCTTTGTTTTCTTTGTTTGCTCGTTACTACACCCGTAGACAGCGCTAAAGTCCCGCATCTTCACGTAATAACGCTGTCTTGACTAGTGCGGTTGAATGACACTTGTCCTGGGAGCACTGTACCAATATGGCGGCGCTATTGACGCATGCTCAGGGTCCCTATGCGATATCTAGTGTATATATCTATGGTTTAAGGAGAAACTCTCTTCATTTGATCTCATTATTTCTGAAAACCAGACAATGTGTTCTGCTTGTCTAGTAAATGCTCCTTGATTTAAGAGTTTATACATATTTGGACCAGAAACAAGACACAGCGTCTCAGTAAGAGCAGCATTATTGCAGTGTACTTATCCAAACTCTCTTACCCTGCTGCTCACCGCTATTCTCTCTCCATCTCCAGGTGTAGATCTCCTCCTTCATCTGGGTCTGTCGGGCCTCAGAGAGCGTCCCTCCTCCGGGTCAGCGCACCTCAGCTCTGCGTCTCCGCCAGTGCCCACTCTGCCTGCCGGTGTGGGGGTGACCCTGGCCCGGGACGCCCTCAGTGAAGCCCCCAGCGCTGGTCTCCTCCCCGCAGGCACGGAGCAGGAGTTTTCCATCATCGTGAGCTTGAGCTCCTGGAGAGCCAACAATGCCTTTCTGTTCAGTGTGCGGGACGCCAGGGACGGGCTGCAGTTCGGCATACAGCTGCTGCCCGGCCGGATCGCGGTCCACACCGGCGGGAAGACTTCACTTTACTTTAAACATGATGTGCAGGATGGACGGTGGCACTCGTTCGCTGTTGGAGTGCGGGCCCGTTCTGTCTCTCTGTATGCGCTGTGTGGAGATGTGCATCACGAGGAGCAGACGCTGACCCGTGTGCAGACGCTGCCCGCTGACGGACGGCTCTCCGTGGGCCGCATGGACTCCAGAGCGCCGCAGTTTGAAGGAGCCTTATGCCAGCTGGACATCTACCCATCAGCCCAGGCTGCGGCACACTACTGCCAGTATCTTAAAAAACAGTGCAGACTGTCGGACACCTTCCGATCTCAGTCCCCAACAGGATCCCCAGATCTCCAGCTAAGCTCTTCAGAATCACAAGTCATCCCCCACACCGACTCTTATCCCTCAGCACTCATCCATCAGTCATCGACGAGCTCTCCACTGTTGCGCTCTCGGCATACAGACCCGTCTACAAGATCATCGAGCAGGAGATTCAATCTGGAGACGTCCACCAGAAGCCCAGGCAAGAGTCTCGATGCTGAAAACGAGACCGAGGATCATCATCTTAAGAAGCCGAGAGGGACTCGATCCACCCCAGATCTGATCTCCATCATCAGGCAGAGCCGTCTTAAAGATTTCTCCAGATACAATGGAAGATCCCAGCAAACCCAGAGCGAGGTCAGAGTCAACAACACCGTCCTGTACCGGCAGGAGAGCAGCTACAATCTGCTGGAGCGATCAGAGGAGCAGGACCCAGGGTACTCCGAGGGTTACGGATACGACTACGGTTTCGAGGAAGACGAGTATTTCTTCGACTATGATGGATTCGTTGGTCCTAAAGGAGAGCCGGGTCCTCCAGTGAGTACGCTTTGATTGTCTTTTCTCGTGTCTTTTGAATGACTCTCATCATCTTTTGAAGTGCAGGATCAAGTCTCTGCAGGCCAGAGCCACGTCCAAATTACAATGAGCTGAAGCTGATTTATGGCTGTTTCTGGAGGAGCTGTGTGAGGGAGCGTGCACTTGGCTGTGTTTCTGCGAGCTGTTCAGAAGCGTTCTGGGCAGGAGAACAAGTAAATAATTTGTCAGAGACAGCTGGTGATTTAGCAGCAAGGTGATGGTTAGTTTTGTTCCTCCCGGACTTACAGGTGGTTATAATAGTACATGTCGAGATGCCGCCGGTCGCTCCTGCTGTAATTTGACTGATGTGCTAATTTCCGCATCTATTTACAATGCATCACCCAGCAACACGATGAGTCGGCTGTATAAAGCACTGCTGGTTGATGTCATCCTGCGTTTAAGTGATGTTTATGAGCGGAGCGCAGGAATACCTCCACAATGCTGGAATTAGTAGACTCCGGGATTTCTTTCCGAGCTGCAGGCGCAGAAACGCTGTGATTGTGAGTGTTAATGGAACAGATTAGTTTGTTTGTGAACTGGATTTCTGTGGAAAATATGCCAGCGTGGGCTGTCAAGCGTCAGCATTTCACTTTCCTCTCCTGCTCTAAGTGTTATTACGCCTCGAGGGTACAGTTCAGTCAATGAGAGGCTCGCTGCTAGTGTTTCTGCAGCTCAGGGTTCAGTGACGTCTGTAATACTTCACTCTGTCAGTAATGCACAGCTCTCTACTTCAGCTTAACCCAGCCCAAAGAGACGGGCTGCTCTCGCTTGATGGATTTGGGAAACATTTAAAGTTTAAAACTGAGGAACGTAAAGGCACAGCTCACCCTAAAGTTTACTCTCCCTCCATACCAATCTAGCTTGAGCGTCTATCTCCAACAGAACAGAGGAGGGTGTTGAACTGGCCGAGGGTGGAGGAAACCGTTGAATGCAATCATTTTGAAAGCGGGACAGGGCGGTGACGCAGTGGGCAGCACGTTCACCTCACAGCATGAAGGTCGCTGGTTTGAGTCTCGGCTGGGTCAGTTGGTGTTTCTGTGTGGAGTTTGCATGTTCTCCCCGTGTTGGCATGTGTTTCCTTCGGGTGCTCCAAAGACATGTATAGGTGAATTGGGTAGGCTAAATCTGCTGTTGTGTGTGTTTATGTGTGTGAATTAGTGTGTGTGGGTGTTTCCCAGTGATGGGTTGCAGCTGGAAGGGCATTCGCTGTGTAACCCACAGCCATGTCACCCTGCAGCCCAAGACCGGTTACTCACTGAAGCTAAGCAGGGCTGAGCCTGGTTAGTACCTGGATGGGAGACCACTAGGGAACACTAGGTTGCTGTTGGAAGTGGTGTTAGTGAGGCCAGCAGGGGGCGATCAACCTGAGGTCTATGTGAGTCCTAATGCCCCAGTAAAAGTGAAGGGGACACTACACTGTGAGTGGGCGCCGTCTTTCGGATGAGACGTTAAACCAAGGTCCTGACTCTCTGTGTTAATTAATAATCCCATGGCACTTCTCGTGAAAGAGCAGGGGTGTAACCCCGGTGGCCTGGCTAAAGTCCCTCTATAGGCCCATACGATCATGGCCTCCCAATCATCCCCTTCCACCGAATTGGCTCTATCACTGTCTCTCCACTCCACCAATAGCTGGTGTGTGGTGAGCGCACTGGCGCCGTTGTCCTGTGGCTGCCATCGCATCATCCAAGTGGATGCTGCACACTGGTGGTGGTGTGGAGAGACCCCCCCTCATGATTGTGAAGCGCTTTGGGTGTATGGCCATACACAATAAATGCGCTATATAAATACACATTACATTACATTACATATAAAACATATGCTGGATAAGTTGGCGGTTCATTCCGCTGTGGCGACCCCTGATTAATAAAGGGACTAAGCTGAAAAAAGAATGAATGAATGAATTTTAAAAGCAAATGTGCGTCTGTGTTTGACTGCTTATTTCCCGCAACTCGAGTCTGTTTTGAGGCTGGGTTTGCTGTCTGATGTTGGGTAGTGTACGGACAGAACTGTGATGTTTCCCAGAGTTTATTCTGACCAAAATTGCTTCTCGAGGGGCTCTGTGTCAACATACAGTCTAGGAGACTGTAGTAAATCTGTCAAATGATCAGCTCTAGCTCCTCTCTTGTGTTCACTAGCTTGTTTATAAAGATAAGTGTAAGGTAAAACAAGGTAGATCACTCCTTTAAATCCCCTTTTGCTAATGATTTAATAGTTAGATTGTCTCTGAAAGAATCCTGGCTAAAACCAGATGATCGTATAGAGTGTACACCTGAAGGATATCATCATAAACATGAGCCTTGTGTTGAAGGTGGAGGTGGAGGTGTTGCTGCAGTATATAGTAATGTGTTCAGTGTCACTCTATATCAACTATAACTCCTTTAAAATAGTAGATCATATCAGTGTACAATGCCAACAATTAATCTCAATTTAAATCTGTATTGGCCACTGCATATAGGCCTCCAGGAAACCACACGAAAGGAATTCAATAATGTGTGATCAATTAATGCAATATCTTCATTTCTATTGCATCTCTTGCAACGTAGATGCCAAAGCAGAAAATAAAGAGAATAAAAAGCCGTGATATTTAAGACTGTGAGATATTCAGTAGATCAAAGCTGTGTAGTTCATTATGAGCAGGGCCAGACGCCGGACATTTTTGGCTGTTTCTGTGCAGAATTGTGTTAAAAATATGCGGATTTATGCAGAATTATTTTGTGAGTATCATAACTAAAACCTTAAGGGCTCTATTTTGACGGTCCATGCGCAGGGCGCAAACGCTTTCAGGGCGTGTCAGACACGTTTTTGCTAATTTACGGACGGGAAATCTGCCTTGCGCCGTGGCGCATGGTCTAAAAGGGTTGAGTTTATTTTCTTAATGAGTTATAGGTGTGTTTTGAGAATAAACCAATCAGAGTCTCATCTCCCATTCCCTTTAAGAGTCAGCTGTGTCACGCCAAGAGCGCATTCACTATTTACAGGACGCAAAGTAAGTCTAAGTGGAAAAAATGAGCATTTCACAAGCAAACAGTTCACAGCTTATTAACAGAAAACTGTTAAACAGAGCATCTACTGCGTGACAATGAGAGATAATGGATCACATTCACTCTTGGATAGGGAAACCTTTACGCACAGACATCATCTATAAATTATTAATTTTGTTTGTTAAGCGCAAATATTCGTTTCAAAACTATTTCTAAATTCAGTTCTAATCTCCAGCAAATGAATAAATGAACAATAATAATGAAGTGTGCTCAAAAACCTGAGTTATATCCTAAAACACATGCTGCGCCCCATATGGTCTAAAACCTGACAGGTGGACAAATCTAAGCTTGTTTTTAATAAAACAAATATAAATATGGATATAATAAATAATACTGCTAATAATAATAACATTATACAAAAGCAAATTGTCATGAATGAACTGAAAAAGCCTCCCGAGATGAAGAAGACATTAAAAAGAGGTATTTTTCATATTTATGTAGGCTAGAAAATAATATGTTTTGTAATATTTTAATGCTTTATATTTATATTCTATATCTATTCTTATTATATCCTATATATATCCTTAATATTTAAATGTTTTCATATGTAAAGATGTTTGCCTATTGCTCTTGTGTGTATTAAGCAGTGTGTAAGCGAGGTGCAACTCTGCGCTGGAGTTTAGACCGGGTTAGTTTTGGTCTAATGAAAAATCTATTATAGATTCTCAAAATAGCAACGCACCAGCGGTCCACCTCAGAACACCTTCCTTTTTAGAGCAGAACGCCTACAGGCGCACATATGAGTGCTAATGCATTTGCTATATAAACAGCGTAGCGCAACGCCTCAAAACCACTCTTGCAGCAAGCTGAAACTACCAAAAGACTACTGCGCCACACCATGCGCCACACTGCGCCGGGTGTATGATAGCGCCCTAATATGTGAAATAAAAAGTAACACCTTTTTAACTTTTATTTCATGTTTACAATCTAAATCCAATATTTGGTAAACAAATCAAGTTTCTCATATAATATCTCTAATAAAAGACAGAAAATATGACTGTACACACTGTATTGTGCATATATCAGATGGATATTTTCATATGAGTCAGTAATATTACTGTAATTACTTTAGAAACTGAATAAATCTAAACTTACACACATTTGCACAGGTAAATAAGCAGAATTAATGATGGGCTAAACATCTGCAGAATTCTGCGCGCGCAGGTTCCGTGTGGGCCTAATCCTGAGCTAGCATGAGCTCGTGCTGTGCGATATCCATAACTCTGCAAACACTTCTGCTTCCATTAAAGCATTGTGATCAAAGCTTGGCCACTTCTAAATACATGAAATACCCTCAGCGGGGTGGAGGACCGTTGTTTATCAAGTATAGGTCAGTAGGCCGGAGTGAATAACTTCTGTCACGCCAACAAACGAGAGAGCCAGGAAGCGGATGATGATTCTGGAAGTGCTCCTGATGACGGCCTGAAGAACTGATGTTTAATTCATGTTTGAGCAGTTGCACATTTGTATGCCGAACACTGAGGCGTTCGCATGATCGGTTTGTGTGAGGATATGTGGATATGAGACATGAGTTAAGGATATTTGTGTTGGACGTCACCTGAAGTGCTCTGTGTTGGCGGAGGGATACGCTGCATTCCTCTGCAGATTCTGTCCAAACGCAGCTCTCCTCGGCTGCTCTGACTCTAATTACGCCTCCGAGCTACAGATCACTGAGCGAGATGGAAAGCATCACCATCGCTGCTTCTGCAGCCCAGAAATCAGTCCCATCTTTAATATTTCATTCTGTCACTTGTCCAGAGCGGGATTAATCTAGCATAAGGGTGCTGGCGGGTTATGAGGGCCTTTATACACTTTACAGCGCTGGAAACAGGCCGATTTGATCAGTTTTACATTTTCATTCAAGTCATTTCAGCTTGGGCAGCGCAGTGGGTAGCAAGAAGGTCTCTGGTTTGAGTCTCG